AAAAATACCTAAAATCAATTATTAGGAGCAATTATTAAAACTGTTAAAAGGGGTGGAGAAAAGAAGGTTCCGATGAGCTATAACCTGGGTTTCAGGGTTCTGCTATAGTCTGATCTAGAATTGAGGTCTAAATTGAGGTCAGTTTCACAAGGGACTCAGACAAGATTGAACCTTAAGTGCATGCTTAGGGCAGGTTGGCCACATGAAAAATCTCTTAAAAGCACCTTTCATATCTGAGCAATCTCAGGTTTCCTTGTGGAGTCATCAGAAGCAGAAGGCAACACCACAAATTCCACAGGACCCAAAGGACATGTCAGTGTGCCTCTGAACCTTCAACTGCTGGTGCAGGATGCTGGGAACCAGGGAACCAACACAGCCTCTGTTGCCAGGACTTGGTAAGATGAGGCAGGTACGTTTATATCCTCCTGGACTCTTGGTACAGTGTCAATATTGGCCCAAGGACCAGGGTGGTGGCCACTATCTTCTATCTGAGCTCCATTTCCTTCTGCAGGCACAATGTTCAGCGGATATCCAGTCTTAAGAAAAAGTAAAGGTAGTGATGTTGTCCACAAGGAAAAAAAATATATTCATGTAAAGGCGATATTTTTAGTAGCCCAGCCACAATGGGACAAGATAGTATGCAAGCTTTTGAGTTCCCTGCATTGATCAACCTGGATCAGTGGTGGCGAACCTCTGGCACGTGTGCCGTGGCGGGCGCACACAGCCCTCTGTCGGCACGTGAGCCAAGTGGCCTCAGCATCGCCCCAGCAGCTGGGCATCGGATAACAGCGCACCTGGGGGCCATGCGCACGCTCGGAAAGGAGCAATGGCGCCAGGCAATAATGTCACGAGCCACAACTCATTAGCCATGACTTGTCCGAGCTTTCGCATGGCCGGTCAGTGCGCTTCAGAGGACACGGACACACACACTTGCTTGGACTGGCTGGGAGATGTTTTTTCTATACTAAAGCCTCAGTATTCAGGTTTTATTGCAGTGTTGGCACTTTGCGATAAATAAGTGGGTTTTGGGTTGCAGTCTGGGCACTTGGTCTCTAAAAGGTTCGCCATCACTGACCTAGCTGGTAAGCAGAGCGTGTGTGGAAGAAGCAGGCTGGAGCTAAAGTCACGAAGTTTGCCTTTGATTCTAGTCTGAAGATGGATCATATGTGTAGGAGGAGGTAACAGATATTCAAGGTAAGCACTGCTAGGTGCTCTGGTGATTAGTTCGCATATAGATTTGTTCCTAAGACAGAAGGGGAAAAGAAACATGCAAGGATTGCCCTCCCAGTTTTTAGAAACAGGAAACCCACCTATTACCTGGATCTGTCTCCATCCTTGAGCGAAACACAGAGATTCCTCAGTAGATGGAAAACAGAAGAACAGCAAAACTAGACATTTCTATAATGAAGCTGAAAGTAATTTTAGGTGGTATACAAGTTTAAAATAAGCAAATAGTTGCAAAATGGAGTGAACAGTTAGAGCGAAAGTAGCCTCAGAGAATAAATTCTTATCTTCAAGTGCAATAAAACCTGGTTTAGGATCCCACGGCTGAACACTTAAATTTGGTGTTCTCCAAGGTACATGAAAAAGTTCACCATAAGAAAAAAAAAAAAAGCAACGAACAAATTAATATGTTGATTGGAACAAGATTTTTCTCTTGGGCACCTAATCCAGTTATGTTGGGTGATGTTCTTAACAAACATTTGTGGTCAGTGGTGACTTGAATGAATTCAGGGCAAATGCTATTTTGGGATGCATGAACAGAAGTATTACTTCCAAATCACGAGAAGTAGTAGTTCCTCTATGCTCCTCACCAGTCAGACCTCACCTGGAATACTGCGTCCAGTTCTGGGCACCAAGATTTAAGAGAGCATGTTCAGCCTTGCGAAGACTGGGGATGGGGGCATGAGATCCCTCCATAAGTACCTCAAAGGCTGTCACAAAGAGGAAGGTCAAGGTCTCTTCTTGCTGATGCCAGAGTGTAGGACACGGAATAATTAATTCAGTTTGCGACAACCTAGGTTCAGGCTGGACATCAGGAAAAGCTTCCCCACTGTCTGAGCAATAGGGCAGTGGAACCGGCTGCCTGGAGAGGTGGGGGGCTCTCCCACCCTGGAGACGTTCAAGGCGAAACTGGGCAGCCACCTGAGTGGGATGGTGTACATGGGTGTCCTGCAACAGCAGGGGGTGGACTCGATGGCTTCACGGCCCCTTCCGACTCGACTCGTCTAGGATTCTACGAATGCTTACCACCACACTGAAAATCAGCCAGTGCAGGAGCAGGGTTCACATGGCCTGAAAAGCAACTGAGGATTGTTTTCATTGCCTGCTATGGCATCTGAATGCAGATGGCAAAACCCGCCCTGAGCCAAGCTCCAGGGCAGCCGAGAGAGCATGGGCAACAGCTGACCCCACTGGAGTGTGGCTGTCAGAGGCAGCCCATCTCCTCCCGCTGGAGGCAGGAGAAGCACCTCACTCCTCTCTGTCCTGTCCCCTGGGAGACCACTGGGGGGACTGGAAGGGGAGGCGGCATGGGGGTGGCGCTGAGCCTTGACTGCGGGGCTCAGCGTGTGTGCTTGGCACTCCAGATTTACATGCAAGCCTGCCCTGCAGGGAGGTCAGCTGATCTTGGAATTTGTGCTCAGCCTGTTCTGGATGGGGTTGCATGTGGTCACCCCACCCACACCTTGAAGAATCAGGGTTTCAACTTAGGAACCAAGCAAGCTGAGTTCCTGGGATGCTCTGGAAAGGCCCTTCTGAAACCTGTCAGAGGCATCTGCAGTGGTCGATCCACCCAACTCCCACCAAATTATGGAGCTCCCTCCCAAGAGAGGGGAGGCTTTCTCCCTCCTTGACGGTCCCCTCCTCTATTTAAGAAGGCCTTTAACTTGTGACTGGGCCTGGTGGAGGCCGTGTTCTTTCGGGGAACTTGCCCACAACAGGGACTCAGCTTGGGTTTCCTCATCAATTCAGGGTGTTGGTCCATTTTTAATTATTTTCTGCTTGGAAAAAAGATCACAAATTTCTTATTAACTCACAGCATCAATAATAAATTAGTAATTGTTGATTAAATTATGGGAAGGATTGAAGGCCATTGAATATTGATTGAAATTTAGCAATGGTTTATTGAATAAATAAGTCAACTTAATTGCTTCTTTTTATTATTTGCATAAGAATATTAAAAACAAATGCAGACATGCAAGAGGAAAAATGGTTTGTGTGTTTTCCCCTTGGCCCTCTCTCCTCTTTTTTGTTCCAGAAGAAAGAAGAGGCCAAAACAAAGAGGTTGTTATTGACCTATTCTATCATCCATCCATCTTCATCCTCCATCCCCTAAAGAACTACCTAAGAATTTTGGCTAACAAAGTAAGTTCTTAAAAACATTGGGAAAGGAGAGGAAAGAGGCATTAAGGGTGGCAACATAGTAATCTTGTTTAATGACTGTTGGTCATGTAAGCAAGGTCAAATCTAGCAATACCAGCTTAAGTGCAATGTAAATATTCAGTAGTTACAAGATAAGCAGTATGCTAATATAATTACATATGCATTTGCAGCCCAAAGAGTTTTCTTGATGCATCATCAAATCAATATGCAAGAGAAACAGAAAAGTTTTCAATGTTTTAAACAAACTAATACCTGAATAGCTGCCTGCACAGCACTCTCGTTGAAGAGAGCCAGTGTGGCGTAGTGGTGAAGAGCGTGGGACTGGGACTCAGGCGATCTGGGTCCTAGTCCCCACTCAGCCATGGAGCCAACTGGGTGACTTTGGGCCAGTCAGACTCTCAGCCCAACCTACCTCACAGGGTTGTTGTTGTGGGGATAAGATGGAGATGTAAGCTGCCTTGAGCCCTTTGTAGGAAAAAGGCAGGGTATAAATCGAAATATAAATAAACTGCCCAACTTTGTCTGGCAAGAAGTTGTTTCAACCCCATTGTTTGAGGCTGGAATGGCTCTTGTTGCCACCTGGAAGTCACCTGACACCTTCTCTGTGGATATGTAAGGGCCGCAAGCCTGTTAGTCTTCTGAAACTTTTCTTGGAGGGACATAAATACCCTGCTCTCCAAGCCCTCGGTGGACCAGTGGGCCCCAGTTCCCCGTGGGGCTTCTGGCCATGGTAGCTGAAGCCATTCTGAACACACAGGGCATGTCATGGCTTTCCTTTATATGCGAGCTTGGCAAGGGTGGATGGTTGGGGGCCGTGCTGACGAGGCACCTGCAACGCCAGGCAGCTCGTGGGTTCGGCAGGGCTCGTCAGTCTGACTGCTATGGCCACGCTTTCCAGCCAGTGTGTTATCTCAGGGGGTAAGACCGGCTCCCTTGCCGGGAACGGTGTGGCTGGCCGGCCGGGGCAGCCAGGGGCAACTTTTTCGGCATCCCTTTTCAACAAAGCCAGCCAGGACTCCCGGAAGGGCACGCGGAGGTGGACTGCCTCTGCAGAGGGAGGCTCCACGTGGCTGCCGAGCTTCTTCTCCCGGCCCGTGAGTGCACGGGACCCTTTTGGGATAACGCACTGCTCCTCCTCCCTCCCGCCCCGTCTTCCTTGGATGCCCTGCCTGCGGCACGGCACGCTTTGCGCCAGGAGCCCGTCTGGCAGGGAAGCAGGGCGGCCGCCCCCGAAGGGCCGAACTCGGTCGGGGGCGAGGCGGCGCCGGGTCCCCCGCGCCCCCCGCTCCTGCCCGAGGCCCGCCGGGGTCCTCCGGGGGCCCGGCCCTTTTGCTCCCTCCCTCCGTTCCGCCCGCACAGCACCCCTGCGAGGTGGGCCCGGCGCCGGCGCCCGAAGGCGGGCGGCTCCGGCGGCGCGCTGGCCGGGCCCGGGCG